AATCAAAACTTACGTTACCAAAACATTTAGAACATATTTTTGTTAGCTTAGCACATTAGCAATATGTTTCTTTGTGTCTAGAAGCATGCTAGAAACATCAAGTTCGTAACATGTTAAAACATTTTGGGAATGAAACGTGCTAAGAACTAGCCTGGTAATACCAAACTCTGCTCCTTCGCTTTGCTTCGTAGACAGAGTCTAGAGTGGCATCATTGAAAAGTGTTTTCTTTATCGCGAGGGGGCGCTTGTCTGAAGTATAAAATCATTGGTTTACCGTAAGCCAATCGCATAACGTTTGGTTATGTGCCAGCTCAGCCGAATCGAACTAAACTTGTAAACACATAACTTATATGATGCGAAAACGAAACCATCGAGCGAAATATCGGAGCGCACATGGCTGTGAACGACTTTTGCAGATTATGTGAAGTAAATCTATGCAACCATGGCACAAGCGGGCCTCTAAACTAATATTTGACAGTAGAGAGAAACAGGAAAATATTTGCAGCCGACTGTCAAAGTTAGGATTAGTTCTGCTAAACGCAGCTCTTTGTTCGATTCGAGTTTGTCGGAAATGCTGCAACTCAATTGCAAGATTACAGCATGACATGGCAATATTTAAGAACTGAAAAAGAAAGGAGACACTGACTTGTCAAAAGGGTGCTAGTTCGAGTTCGACAGATAAAAGAGACCGAGATACTCCCTCTGTCAGGAGTACGGCCACAACATCACCTCCATTCAAAATTTTTAGCAAACACTCTTCTTGGTCGGGCTTCAGTTTGCAAATGCCGGGAATATTCTCCACAACAGAACGAATTGCATCCTGTGTCTCCATATCCGCGGTCGTTTTCGATTTCGCCAATCTTAAACTTGGCGCTTAGCGTTTACGTCACGGCTCTCAGCACCCCCTCTGTTTTCAGGCCGGAGGAAAACGAAGAGACATGTCGCTGTATCAGACTGAGTACAAAAGCGAAAATAAATAGAGCGGAAGTACGTAGTCAGGCTAGCTGAACTCTTTGTATTTTAGGAAAACATCTCACAGGACTATGTGATGAATGTCAAGAGGAGGAAACAGTCAGTCACATTTTTTATGTCATGCAGGACATTTACCCAAGAAAGGCAATCTTTGAAACATAATTTGCAAGAAATTGGTAGGCTATAGACCATTTCACAAGATGTAAACAACACTGGTCCAGAAGCACTTCCTGTTTCAGTTTGTAACTGTTTTCTTTATTTCACATGTAAAGAAAACATCTTAAAGATGTTTGTTTAACTTTTTTGATTCAGTTTTTAAATGTTCTGTTGGTTGTATTGTATCCCAGCTTTTATGTAGTGTTAAAAAACTGAAACAGGAAGTGCTTCTGAACCAGTGTTGTTTACATCTTGTGAAATGGTCTATAGGACAAAATCATGTCGAAAATATATTAGAATATTGGAAGAGTGAACAAGGAAAGAAATATTTATTTTATTTTCTAAAGAGGACTGGACTGGAAGGATGAATATGAGTGTGAAATTACAAGATAATAATCAGTAGATGGCAGTAATGCAAGCTTGGATGCCAGCCGTAAAACACCAAGGAAGAAGAAGAAGAAGAAGAAGAAGTCAGGCTAGCTAAGAACACATAGCAATGCCAAAAATGCAATGCAAGGAACAGGTAATGTTAAACCATGTCAAAATGTGTTCAAACATTCTAGTAATGCCTATATCAATGTATTATCAACATGCTAGAAACAAGTTAGCAATGCTTAAACATGGTAGAAATGTGCCGAAACATGCTAACAATTTTTTTAACCTGCTCGTCATCTGACCTTCTTTCTGTCTGACAGTAAAACCTTCAAACCTCAAGCTAAAACTACTTTACTTTCAGGCCAAACATCAAAATTTGTAAAACATTAAATCGGTATAGGCTATCATTATTCTGTCTTGTTATTATTTCAGTTACGATACATTTATTTGTATGGCTGTTTTGGGCACAAAAAATATATTTGTAGCATTAAAAATTGGCCTCTAAATAGTATAACTTTTATAACCATAACATACAGTATTAGTTGATTGAAGGAGGGGGGGGGGGGATCTCCAAAAGGTGGAGAATGAGCACATCGGCTGTCCTTTTCACAGCATCTTTTGCGCCTCAGTTATCCACAGTGTCTGTGTATGTCAGTGTGATGACAGGTTCAGAAATGAACTCTCTGAGCTTTAGAGTGGCCTCATCGATGAATAAGTGCACTGGCTGGTCATCCATCTATGAGCAAAGCTAGAGGGATCAATAGCCAGAAGGCAGCAGGCAGGAGGCAGGCGTATGATCTCGCTGAAGAGGCTGTTATCTTCCTTGAACCCTGGACCTTAACAACCAGCGTCATATAAAAGTGACGCACAAGGCTATTTGATCTGAGCCTGCTTGCATTGACTTTGACTATGCCTCAAATCTTCTGCCTACCTAAGTTGCTGTTTTTGGGCATCACAGCCTTTTCAGATGTGAAGTCTATCTCAGGTGAAAGGTAGAAAAAGTATTATCTTTTGATATAGCCTTTATGGTTAAACCAATCCCACAACACATTTTGAAGAACATAGAAATAAATCCCTCCAAAAATGGAAGAGCAAAATATCAAAATATATGGTTTGCAGTGATAGAAAAATTTTGGCCAATACCGATATTTTAGTTTTATGACATTTTGTCATATTTTCATGATTTTGATTTAAAGTCCCCGTGAACCGGAAGTTGCAAACGATTTTTCTCCAGTGCTGTGACGTATTTCCAAGTGAAACGGAATATTGAACAGAGGGCAGGGTTTTACTCTAGCGCTCCTCCTCTCCATCTCTCGCTCATAGCAAACTAACGGTTTGAGGGGAGTGGTTAAGCGTTTCCCCACCCAAACTGTGAAACCTACGTCATCAGAAAAAGAAACCGTTCCAGACCGGAAGTAACTTTTCAGATTTTGATTAAAGATTACTAAGGTAAAACATTTTTTTTAATATATATTCACTTGCACGGATTAATTGTTCACCACAAGACTAGTAATATGCGCTAACAAAGTAAATAGGTTCAATTTTGATTTCACGGGGACTTTAAAGGTGCACATTGTAACTTTTGAACCTCTAGCAGTTATTGCGGGGGGAAATTGTTTTTTTTTTTTTGTGCCTGGATCTGGATGAATATGGTTATCCTATTTCTAATAAAACATTCACTACTAAGATTAAAGCTAGGGTAGCTCATTTTGGAGAGGCTAATGATAGCAGGCTAGCTTTAAAAGCATACGATCCCACCCTCCCTCCAAAAACACATGAATGTTGACAGCCAGAGCAGAGTCTGCAAAGCGTCACGAGGAACGACGTTAAATTAGCTCTTATCTCATGCTGCAGATTAATTTCAGAGTTGTTAGTGTTGCCATGGAAACGCATAATTCCGAGGAGGTTGAACGTCACGAGGTGTCATCTCGCAATTATGCCAATTACTACATAGTGTGAACGCAGCATTAGCTTGTTGCTTTGGTTCAGGAGGAACTGTTAAAGGTGACTACTGCTTGTTTGAGGTGATTGGTGACTGTCTGTCTACAACCCTGCGTAGCCTAGTGCTGATGTTTTGCGGAAGTATGCAAATAGTATGCAAATCAGGCAGGTAGGACATTCTATTATTGCATCTGGACCAAATGCAATGATTTGACAAACTTGTGTTGGGTTAACCATACTTGGCCTTCATATGTCACTTTAACTTTCACTTTATAATTGGGAAATAAATTATAACATGTTGCAGCACTTACTTGCACACTTATAATGTACAAAGGAAAGTACTGATATGATATAGTTATATCTAAAAATATGTGTAGGCCTAAAACAGTGTGTGCTGTGTATTTTTGTGCTTAGAGTATAAAAACAATATCCTAGCTACATGCTTACATCAGAGTTATCTATGGTTGTGAAATTAAACACTGATGGAAGCATTTAAAAATAGTCCTTCCCGCAATGGCTCTCGGCTATGACACATGCTAAGAATACCAGAGCTGGGTTAGAAAACAACTCAGCATGTCATATTGAATGGCTCTTTTTCCCACATTGGGAATGCAACATTTATGAACTGATTATCAACACTGATTGTTGAGTTTTCAGTCTGTCAGCAGATTAAACAGAATGTTTTTTTTTAAAGCTGGGTTGTTTGGGTCAAATGTGACAACATGAGATCATGACTTTTGCATAAACATACACGGCACTTTCAAGTCAAGTGGCGTGTTATCTATACGCATTTTGAGCTATCCGTGTGTATGCGTGTATGTCTATGGCGTTAAATTTCGGAGTGATTCCACGTATATGTACACCCCGTTAAATGTCTGAGCAAAACGAAGCAAAATGTAGATTTACATCTGGGGAGCGATATTTTTTTTCCTAGGATGGTAGGGGAAGATTCATAAATGGTATTAACCCTAGTGACGGGTAGGTTTAGAGACGGGGTTGGGGTAGGTCATATATTCCTATATACAGTAATGTATCGTTAAGTCAACGGTGTTGTTGATAGCACGCCAAAAATGGAAATACGAATTGGCGTATCATATATACGCCATTTCATGAGATCAGTCTGAACACACAAACCCAACCGTTAGGTTTAAAATTGAATAAAAAAATGTTAACCAATGGATCGGTTTGTCCATATTTAGCCCAAACTAAATAGAGTAAGCTGTTTTCCTCATGTGGACCAAATAATTTAAGGATTTCAGAAATTGTTCCCCATGTACATAGTATGTGCTTATTATAGTAATTACAATAGATACTAACCCTGAACCTATACCCCTAAATCTAACCAGAACTCATTTAGTTACCTTATATTATATTAACCAGTCACCTCTTAGGTAAGAACACTGTAAGTACACATAAGTGCACATACTGTAAAATAAAGTGCAACCACAACCATCTTTGTGGGGAACCATACTAGTATCTCGTAATCACTGTCAATTGTTTGTGTTAGGATGACAAGTCTTGATAATCGATGTTCGTCTCTCCTCCATGTCTCTCAGGAGTGTGGTATGCTCAGGCTTTGGAGGTGAATACAGGGAAGGTCAATTTCATTGAAGTGATGAATGGAAGTTCAGTGCTCTTACCCTGCACTTACGCCAGCTGCATAGGCATTAAAAACCTTTACTTCAACTGGCAGTATAAGGACAATGGGACAATGGTTAAGGTGAGACATTCAACCGTTTCTCAATCAGACTGATTTCATGCAGCTCATGCTAACAGAAGAACATACGAAGAGTTCAGATGCAAAAGCCTCTAAGTGCCATTTAAAATTTTCTTCTAAAACGATAATTTTTATCAAGCTTGTATATTTAAGTTCAGTAATTTTACTTAAATGGCAATGAAGATTACCTATTAATTGTCATTTAAGTGAAATTGCTGAACTTAAATATACAAGTTTGATAAAAATGGTCATTTTAGAAGAAAATTTCAAATGGCATTTAGAGGCTTTTGCATCTGAACTCTTCATATTTACAGTTTTTTTCTTTACCCATAATGCTTCACACAGTTCTCTTATCGAACTTTCATCTTGGCACAGCAGTTCATTTCACATAAAATCATTGGTAACACTTTATTTCGATAGTCCACTTTAGACATTCTACTGACTAAGTAACTTTTCAACTACATGTCAACTAACTGTCATTAGAGTCAGTGTTGTAGTCGAGACCACCTCACTCGAGTCCGAGTCGAGACCGAGACCAGAGAGAGTCGAGTCCGAGTCAAGACCGAGTCCATAGAGAGTCGAGTCCGAGACCAGAGACGGTCGAGTCCGAGTCGAGACCGAGACCAGTGAGGGTTGATTACCTAATTTACTTTTATTTACTTAGAGAAATTCTTTTTTTTTTTTTTTACTGAATTTACTTAGAGTTTAAAAAATATGATCAGTTTAGGGTAAAAAGGCCACATAGTAGGTGGTGTTAAAAGTAATTTTTATTACAATTTGTCATGCGCAGTTGTGCACTAGAAAATCACCAATCACTGGGCGTGTCAATCAATTTAAAGAAATATTTTATTAACATAAATTAATAATCATGAAAAATATTTTGAATTGAACTCGAGTGGACTCGGGAATAAGAAGTCCTGAAAAAAAAAGTGTTCGAGTACGAGTCAATTCCGAGTCCAAATGCACACGAGTCCATGACAAGACCAAGACCATTAAAATATGGTCTCGAGACCGAGTCCGAGACGAGTCCGAGTCTCGAGTACTACAACACTGATTAGAGTATTAGTAGACTCTCTGCTTAATATCTGCTAACACTTTATTTTGTTGGTCCCCAAGTAACTTGGCGAAAACAAGTAAACTTATTCTCCTAACCGAATGCCTAACACCTAACCATAACCTAACAGTCTACTGACAGTTTACTATAATATACTAATACTCTAATGAGAGTTAGTTGACACGTAGTTGAAAAGTTGCTTATAATTAGTAGAACGTCTAAAATGAGTATCGAAATAAAGTGTAACCAAATCACATCATTCTTAATACTATAGCAAAAGTTGTCACCCAATAAGCACAGCTTGTCACTCATAAAACAAACACTAACAACATCTAGGTCTGTGTATGAGCCGATCATTTGATTTCCAATTTGAAATAAAATAAGCAGAAATTAGAAAATAGCACCTTAAAAAAAGAGAGATTTATTTATTTACTGTGATCTATTCCCTTAGCTTTGTGAGGCAACTATCCCAGCAGAAGGAGTAGAACCTAACGTCAAAATCTATCACGAGCGGGTGGAGTTTGTCGGCACCAGCAAGAAAAGTAACATCTCCATCTTACTGCATAACGTCACCTTCGAGGACCAGGGAGAGTACATGTGCTTCGCCCGCAACCCTAAGGAGAAGGAACGCAACCATAGTGCCATTTTCACTCTTTATGTGGTGGATGAATGTAAGTTTTGCTGACAAAAAACAGTATTCTTAAGCACAATTGATTAAATTGGCATACTTAAAGTCTGTGAAATTGGAACGACTAATTTTGTACTAAATGTATTTTAGTTGCAAGTAGTGCTGAAGTTCAACTTGTACTAAATTCAGGATTCACTCAGGATACACTTCAAATGTATTTTGGTGACATTACTTGAAGTGTGCTATTGGCATCATTATTGTTTGCTTCAAATAGAATAAAGTAATCTTTATAAATTATGGCACAGCTTAAGATTAGTTTCCTTTTACTGACATTTTACAGACAACTTCCTTATCCGGTGAACATCAGTGAGACAATGGGAACAGTTTGTACATTGATGTATGAACCACTGCGGATGTCACGTTTATGTTCAGTTAGTGTCACATTTATGGATTTTAGTTTGTTTGTGAACCTAAAGTACTTGCAATAGTTTCACTTCAGCACAATCAAATCTACTTAAGTATGTTTTTAGTTGGACCTCAGCACTATTTCTGGATAACTAAAGTGCTTAATATATTTATTTTTCACTGTACTTTAAACCATGTGTTATTTAACGGTGTTATAGCACTCAAAGCATCTCCACATGTGTTTGTCTTTGCAGTGAAAGAAGTGGACAACACAGTGACCACAATCATTGTGTCTGTGCTCGGAGGGGTCATAGGCCTGATCATTCTCATAATGGTGGTGAAAGCTGTAGTCCTCGCCATTCTAAGCAAGGTCCAGGAGAAGAAGTAAGTCAGTTGTATCCTGAGTCAGAATCTCTAAGAATGTTCCCTTACTTTTTATGGCTAGATTATAACATATTCAATGAATTTTAGCCTGCTGCCCTTGGATGTGTCCTGCCCTCAGGACTAAATTGGCACACTTTTTAGTGTATAAAAATATACGTGTTAGCAGTGTTGGGAGTAATGCGTTAAAAAAGTAACATATTACTTTTTGCTGTAACGCAGTAGTGTATTCGCTACTGTAAGTATTTTACACAGTATTTTACTTGCGTTACAACACACTTTTAGTTTAATTGTAAAACAAAATGATTGAATGAATGAAATGATTAGTATATTTTAAGTGTAAACTTTGAGTACACAACTATTTTACAAACACATTTTCGTTTGTACTGCAACTATACTACAGACAAACTTATATACTGACAGTTTACTAGTTAAATACAAGTAGCACATTTTTTAGTTTATGAAAGTACACTTTGAAGTGTACTCCGTAAACTAGCAGTTTAGTAGCTCTATTCTGAAATTAATCCTCTTTAAGGGAATTTAACATCATACTTATTGTTTACTATTTGTATTAATGTTATTTTTTCACTTTAAGTATACTTCTATGTTCCTATTTAGGTATTTAGACTTTTAACTCTTTCCCCGCCAGCATTTTTTTTTTTTTTTACATTTAATTTCACAAATCTTTCATGGCTTCCAGAATACTCTGTTTGGATGAATATCTAAACATGCAAATTATAAAAAGAAATAAAAAAAGCCTCTGCTTTAGAATATATAAGCCTCTGCTTAAAAGCCCGTACACACCAGGACGAATATCAGCGCGCGTTATTCGTCAGCGTTTTTTCAACGCTTTTTTGTGTTCACACCCAAGCGATTTTCGCTGACGATGAGCCGAGTGAACATGCAAATTCATTTCCTGACATTAGATGGCGCCAATTTGCTCTGCAATACCACTCCATATCAGTTTTCTTTTATAAAGATGTTTGTAGTCGCAGTCGCGTTTGTCATATAGTTTTTTTTATGTTCTAGCACCAACGAGAACAGCAGTACTACATTCATCTTGCATCTTCCTCGTCTTATTTCTTCCTGGCTGTGTAGACGGTGACGCTACTTGGCGTATATCTTCTTCGCCGTTGCACATGTGTGCTCGGCAAGACCGTTTTGTGTTTGAGCGCCCCCAAGTTGTGTTTTACTATAACTTCAGAAGCTCCAAACATGTGAGCAAAAGTGGCAATCTCATTGGTTGGATAGTTTTTGACGCAGCGCGTCAAACTAAAAAAATGAGCCCGAGGCGTTTTTTTTTTTTTTAAATGACGCTTTTATGCGTGGCCTTTAATTTACGCGTCGGTGCGCACACTCACATTGGCGCCCTTTGTTTAGTCACGAGGCGTTAAACATCGGCGAATAACGCGCGCGAAATTCGAATAGCGTCATGCATTTTTTTTCAACACTTGTAAGTTTCATTTTAAAAAAGCAACATTTTAAACAAAAAGCTGAGAATCGCGTTTTTGGGATTCAGAATGATGATCAAAACGTAGGAGCAAAACATCACATTCATCAACACCCCATCAAATGCCCATAGTTTTGTACCTCTTCCTGCATTCGATATTTCATTCTGTAACGTTAGGTAGTTTTGATTTATATGCCGTTGAATGTCTGTAGATCACTTTAGATCACTTTTTTTTTCTCTCGCTTGTTTCTGCTTCTTCACCTGTGTTTTGATCTGGAGATTCTGTACTTTCAGAACATGTGTAATAGCGCCCCCTACAATATAACAGTGAAAACATGGATTGACGGACAAATGGTGGGGAAAGAGTTAAGTAGATTTGAAGTAAATTATTATGTACACTACCAGTGGACAAGCCTACAAAAAACATATACTCAGAATTAACATATCAGCTTTCTTTATAAATCAATATTTTCAAACAATGTAAGTTTCTAACTTTCTAATAGAGTATTAGAATGGATGGATGGATGGATGGATGGATGGGTGGGTGGGTGGATGGGTGGGTGGGTGGATGGATGGATGGATGGATGGGTGGGTGGGTGGGTGGATGGATGGATGGGTGGGTGGGTGGATGGATGGGTGGATGAATGGATGGATCTGCAATGGGCAGTGGTTTGCAACATCACAAAAAAAATCTGCAGAGTCATCTTCCCTTCTGTTCCCTGTAAATGGTGGCATGTGTGCTGCACACTAACAGAGGCGACTCTCTAGGGTCCAGTGCTCTTCTGGTGACTTTGAGATGGTGACTGTTATGAAACTCCCTGTGAGACCAGAGCAAATGTCAATAAATATCATTCTGTCATTTTGAGCAAATGTCAATAACAAGGCATTTTGGGTAACGGTGATAGGGGTCATTCCTCACAGGACAACATTTCTCTATATCCTCTATCTGAAATAAAATTCATTACAATCCTGAATCATTCTTAAGAACACATTCTCATTAAAAGAGTAAAATTCTTGAAAAGAAAACTTATTAAACATGAAATTATGTCATAAGGGATAGGGTGTGGTCACATTATCAAAAATGTAATGGGCAATTAGGCCCATTGCCTGTCAGTTGTGATCATGAAGCATAGCTCACTCTTTGTTCAGAACTGAACTTTCGGGTTGGTCAGCTTGGTGAATCCATGTGATCAGCTTGAATCGGTTGTTAAATTTACATGGGCAAATCGTTTGTCCTTACGCTCAGAAAATTCTCAGAACACCAGTAAATGTTGACCACACCTTAAGTATCAGATAAAGTGACATTTTTATGTCAAGGCAAAGTTGTTGTCCTACAATGTCCTACAATGTCTATGTCTTTTTTTCCCTCTTTTCTATAGTAAAGAGTGCCTTGTGAGCTCTTCAGGGAATGACAATACAGAAAATGGCCTCCCGGGAACCAAAGCAGACAGCAAACCAACACCAAAGGCATGAAAACAGCATGTATGTGTACATATGTGAGCATATGTATACATGCATAACTATAACAGATTGAAAGAAAGTCATAACAATGGACAGTTTTATTCTCTTTATCTCATGAGAAATATGCTATATAAATATGTCATCATATATTTTAGACTGTGCTTGAGGAAAAATATGAAGTGCTGTAGGCTGGATCACTGGACAGAAAAGCATAACTGTACTACTAACAGAAAGCACATGATGGCTGACGCTTTGGTGTGCTTGCATTCTGCTCTATCTGGTCTGTGAGACACAGCACTCACACTGCCTTCACAAACTGCCATAATGCTCGACAGCACAAAAACCACATAATGAAACGTTTCATATAAACTTTTCTCGTGCGCATTTATACATCTTCACACTGCATTCCAAACGATCCTGAGGTGGAATCACTCACAAGCTGACAAGTCAGGAACAAAAACGAACACCTTTACGGAAAAATACTAAACAATTTACGCATAAAACCATGGGTGCCTCTTGACATTGGAATATGTTTACCACCAATTCAAGCAGCTAACCGGTTCTGATTATTAACCTCCCATGACCAATTTTACAAGTGATAATGAGTCATATAGAGCAGGATGTGAGTGCACTTGAAGGCCAGAAACACACTCTACGCAATAGCACCCCTTGTGGCAATGCTGACAATACAACACTAACTTGCCGTTCATTTTAAATTGCGTTCTGACACATTTCGTGTGTGAAAATTAGGTTGCGTAGAGTATTTTTCATGTCTAATAGCGTTAGTCTTACCAGAGAAGGGGTGTACGTATATCCAGGATCCAGCCAAGTACAGTTTATTCTATTCATTTCTTTTTCATGTTTTCTGCTTTAGATAAAACACAGGTGCCTGTAAACGCTTCAAGCTCCACATGCTTCCTGGGAGCCTTCAAATGCTATATAAATAAGTTATACACTGCTCACATAAAAAAAAAAAAAGCAAAACAAAACAAAAACAAAAAATCCAGCAAATAAACACCAATATAAAGACAATCCCCAGAAACCAACTCCCTGTAAATGAATGATATTCTGATGCTGCTTTCAACAAAAATAATGCATGTGAATGTTTTATACAGTACATCTAGTGTACTATGTATCCATTTCTCCGAATCATGTTCTCCTGTCTTTCCTCGCGTGATCTAAACATGTGCTTGTCGTATACAGGTACATCACCCTCGCTAGTTCATAACATCATCCAGACTCCACAGCCATTGCTAACCGCTAATGTTGAATTTTGACATCTGAACGAACAAGCTAGCAACCTCTGTGTGCTAACCTGCACCAGTCGCTACGCTAAGAATACTGTTTTCATATCATCATGCTATTCATAAACAAGTGAAACACTTTTGTGACTAAATTCAATGTATTGTAATACCTCACATGCCTCAGTGGCTACTTACATGTGACTAGCATTAGCGTGAACCTCTCAGATCTTCTCATCGAACAGATTAGCTTGATGCTAACTTACGAAAACACACAAATTGCAGAAAATAGTTTTGGTTCTGTAAGATGTTAAAGCGAACTCTGTTTGTCGAAACAAGCCAACTTTCCAACTGTTTCAGAGTTATTTAAGATTCAAGTGCCAAAACCGAACTGCTAGTGGAACGGTGGATGATTTAGCTGTTGCCTCCATCTGGTTTTGTTTGTCCTCCTCTTTCCTTTTGTATTGGAAACCCCATAAATACACAATTCTCGCTCATATCCATATCTGGTTTGAGTATGACAAATTCATAACATGTGATGAATGTCACTTTGCGATTGTACAGCAAAAATGCAATTAAACCCTCACTAGTCTTCCGCCATAACCCAAAGATGAATGTACGCTGTGGTTGTAGTTATGGCAAATTCAGAGGGGTTGTTTCTGGGCACTTTATTCATAAAGATATATGTGTTTTGAATGCGCATTGTATATGTAGAGCGAAGAGAGATGTAGAATTTATGGCAGGATATTTGAATATGTAGTTGAATAATATCTGCAATGGTGATATTACAAATAGGGGAACAGGAATAATTCATCTCTTTGAATGGCTGTATCTCTTATATATATATGTGCACATATTAGCAGTCTTCCAAATCTCTTTTAGAAATCAGGGGGCTTCGGCAATCTCAACAGTTTTGGGATGCTTTTGACAGAGCGGTATGAAATCCAAGCATTTATTAACAGTTTTCATTTAATCCCTTTAAATTGTGTCCGTAAATGTGTCAAAATAAGCCATGATTTGAAAAAAGGGGTTTGGTGCCGCTCTGTCTGTCAGATGCACTGTACAGTCATGTGATTAGCGTTGAGTGTTCTAACTGTTGTTGAGCTGGTCACATGGCCTCTTTGATTGATTTTATTTTTAATGTTATGCTTCCTACAGCTTGTTGCCTTTTGTCATTTTCAGCCAGTGTATTTATGGATTAAACGATCGAATAAACAAGGAGATTGCGTAGATCAGCAATACTGTAAAAAAGAAAGGAAAATTAAAAAAAATAACAATAATAAGGCTGTATAGGCTCTCACAAAATGGACTGTTGTATGCAAATGAGCAACTTTTAGTAGAGCTTCTTTGTTATTATTCAGCTATTTAATGCTAACCCAATTCCTGTTCTGCTCATTTTTTTGTGACTTTGTATACGTATCTTTTTTTCATAACGATTTTGCATTTATTAAAATCATATATTTATTGATTAGTATAGTATGGTGGTTCTCAACTGGTTTTGCTTCAAGTGGCGTAAGAAATAATGCTTATTGTACAGAAGTAAACAATAATGCCTTCAGAATCAAATACTGAAAGTTGTTAATATTTCCATGAACTCCGCAAAGATCTAAATGTCATATTGAATGTAGTTTTGTTGATGATTTTGGAGGTCACAACCTGTCTGTGTAGAAATCTTGACTACCTTCTACCAAGTGGCAGGTAAAAGATGTGTTAAAATACCACAGAATTATTTTGATTTTCTTCCTAACTGTATTTCTAACGTGATTATGTGTGGCTATTTTTGCGTTTGATTTGGTTATACCACTGGTATAGTGCGTTTCTGTGTAGATAGGCTACAAAGAAATGCAGTCTCTTGATCTGTTTGCTTATGTCTGCTGAAATGGTTGACTCAGCTCAGCTAAATCTGTGTTCTGTTAGTAATGTCTGAGTAGGCTGCATAGCTGCAGTGTTGCAATGCAGCACTCAATCCATGAGCCATGATTCGCCACGTCATGCATTCTCTCGGGATCTGATGGGCCATGGCAGGGAAAACTAAAGGGAAATGTCTGATTTATATCATAAAAAGAGCATATTCATCCAAACAGGCCAAAATATTATGTGCTATCACTACTTAGTCAAAATGCATGTGCTACTACTTTAAGGTAAATATCTACAGCTGCACTTTCAGGCAGGCTGCTTGATCTGGGTTGAAAGAAAATATGGGATTTGGATTATAAAATGTGATTTATGTGCAGAGTTGTTCCTCTGTATTTTGCAGGGAGAGTTTGTTCTACATATGTGGGTTATCTCCAAAACCACTTGCACTCTTTTAAAATTCTTGTACTTATTTTCATTTGAGAGTTTGGCTCTCTTCGATCGGATCCTATACGGTAGCAGATTGCCATTTTGTAAAATGGATTTCCAAGAGAAACAAAAACTGGATTTCACTGCCTGGATGACTCTCTCTCACTGCCAAGCCAAGAGAGTGTGAGGACTGCGATGTGCTCCAACACATTCCAAGACACTCTGTCTCCCTCTAGTGGATTTTAAGACTTCCAACATTTTTAAATGATTCAACGATTCCAGTCACACTGGCTATGTTTGGAATGGCAAATAAGCAGTGTTCGGGGTAAAGCATTACAAGTAACGTGAGTTAGGTAATCAGATTACTTTTTCAAGTAACTAGTAATGTCAGGTAATGCATACCAAAATATTGAGTTACTTTTTCAAATAACTAACCCAAGTTACTTTGCTTTCTGATTTATTGACTGACAGCTCTCTTGTCTCTATGTTGAGAAGTACTGTAGGTGTTGAGTGCACTGTGTGTGAACATGATGCTTATTGTAGTTCTAGACTATTATGTATTTAAACATGCTCATCTCACTTGCACAAAAACAGTTTCCATATTTCTTAAAATTTAGTAAAATACAAACTCTGAATATTACACAAACCTGCAAAAATTAAATATGTTAAAATACACAAATATACTTTATTAACCAATTTCTTTGCTGCTGACTTTTGAAGATCCAATTTAACCATTTGAGTTTCACTTTTTCGTAGTTCTCCTGCGTCCTTTTCTTTTTTGGTCTTGCGCCCTCTACTGTACATTTCCTTCAGCCTGAGGCTTAATCATTTCACTTTTGGAGTGAAAGGGACTTTACAGTTGCCAAAAGTAACTATGCAATGCAATTAGTTACTTTTCAAGGGAGTAACACAACATTTTAATGCATTATTTATCTTTTAAAGTTAACTTACCCCAACACTGCTAATAACATTACTGCTTACTGCATACTGCACAGTATACATTGGATACTGTACACTTTTTTAAAAATAGTATGCAAAACAGTATACATTATGCTTCACTGTTTTCACATGACTCAAGTCTTGAATTGAATTCATTAAATCAATGCCATCCAGTTGGAAATAAAACATATTTTCAATTTTTAAATAACATTGTGTAAAAATTAAGAGATGTTCAAATCAATCCCACTAGTCATGTTGCGTGCATTGCATTGTCGGATACCAATTCTAGTATTGTTTATATACTATTACCACATTTATTAATATGTTAAGTTACATTTTATTTTAATATTTCAAATTTCCATTCTGATTTCACTTGTTAGTTCGACATTACCGTTTTTAAGCTATAGTTCTTCATGTAATATTTATATGTTATTTACCAAAAAATGATTTTGAATAGTTTTAAAAATGACATGCATTTTGAAAACTGCATATTGCATACTGTAACAAAATATTACTAGTAGAATTCCATGCTAATCCAAACCTAGCCATTGTATAAGTACATATGTAGAGTTTTAAAGTTTATATTTTACAGATGTGCATAAGTATTCTTTGTGCACTAAATAGACTAGACAAATTTAAGAGATTTTATTCATATATGTAAACCAAGACAACAGCCTAAAGGATACAACTTTCAAAGCTACTTAAACAAGCCCTGCTGTACCACCCATCAGCACACCCAGGAGAATTAACGTTCCTTTCATTTTACTTCTCTTCTGTATACGTTGTAAAAGGAAGAGGCTAAACAAAAAGCTAAAAAGATCCGAATGAATAACAGTTTGGTGAAAACCGGCTCTGGCTGAGCACTTTAAATGCTTATAGACACATGTCATGTACTCAGAAAAAAAAAAGAGAACCTTTTAAATATGTATGTACAGCTTTTGTCTTTAAATTTCCCTTTGTAAAAACATGTCATATTCCCTTATCATAACTATGCACCGCAGTAGATTTCTCTGGATTGTAAAGAATAAACAAATAAATATATCACTATGAGAAATAAAGGTTTGCAAAAAAAATAAAAATATTACTTGTGTTGTTTGATTGGATAATCACATTTGTTTTGTTTGGTCATTGATGAAACTAAAGTTCCTGTAAAGGGTTAGTTCACCCAAAAATGAAAATGATGTCATTAATGACTCACCCTCATGTCGTTCCAAGCCCGTAAGACCTCCGTTCATCTTCAGAACACAGTTTAAGATATTTTAGATTTAGTCGGAGAGCTTTCTGTTCCTCCATTAAAAATGTATGTACCTTATACTGTTCTTGTCCTTAAAGGCAATACAGACATCATCAAAGTAGTCCATGTGACATGAGTGGGTTAGTTTGAATTTTTTTGAAGCATCGAATATACTTTTTGGTCCAAACATAGCAAAAACAACGACTTTATTCAGCATTGTATTCTCTTCCGGTTCTGTGATCATTGCTCGTTCATTTTTGGGTAAACTAACCCTTTAAGGCAGGTCATTTCACTCGGCGGCCATCTTGGGTGAATGTCATGCAAGTACAGCACCCATCTCTTTGAATTAGAAAACAAATTCATCAAAGCTGTTGACCACACTTCACTTTATTATTCTAAATCCAACATTACAAACATAAAACTGTACAATATTTACAAAGAAATATCCTTTACTTTCACAAGTAGGGTGAATTCAGGTAAAACGCGCTACATTCGACACTGAGATGACTCTCAACAAAGTCCTAATTACATGAGTCCACCTTAAATAAAAAACAATACCAACATCCATAAGTTAACAGTACATGAAAACATGTTTGAATTACATCATTTTAGCTTTGCGTGCAGTTTAAATGAACATTTTTTTCTTAACACATAAATCAAATGAGTCTTGCAACTCAAGAATCGAATACTACCCCACGAAGGGAAATATGTGACAACCACATAATCCTGTACAAAACATAGTTGGCTTCTATAACTCATGCCATAACTTGTCCATTAAGATTTGTTAGGCACCCATAGTATTTGGCTGAGTAAATGAGCACTGGCATTAATTCAAGATTATACTGTAACATGGCACCTAGCATAAAAGTCCTCAGACCTCAGAAAAGTAAAAAGTACAGACATCTTGAGATGAGGAGAAGAAAAGAAAAAAACAGAAACCTCTTGTGGCTGCTGTCTCAAAGTGCATTTTAGGTCACTTTGAATTAAAGGGAAAGCTCTTCTAAAAATAAAATGTCACCCTCATGTGGCTGTGAGCATGATTTCAATCTCCCACTCCCTGGATGTAAAATGGGTGGAGCTAGAAGATCTAACTGTATCCCTCCACCTGTTAGATCCACAGAGGTCAAGATCCACCCATGACCTCCAGAGAGGAGGAGCTGGACCTCATTTGGCACTTGCTCATGACTTTAAATGATGTTCCTTCTTTAGCAGAACACAAATAGGAAGAAATCTAACAGAATGTCCAAGTTGCTCTTCTCCATACAATGAAAGTGAACGACAAGAGTTTTAATTTACCTTCAAAATTTTGATTGACCCTGCAATCTTAAAATTTAAAGGTTCTTTATTAGCATCTATAGTTCCATGAAGAACCTTTAAAAGCCATATAGACTTTCCAGTGCACAGAAAAAAAGTTATTTAGAAAGGAAAATGATTCTTTTAAATTATACATCTAAGAACTGTTCTGTGAAAGGTTCTTTGGGGAACCAAAAATAATAATTATATGGAATTGCTGTGAAAACCACCTTTTGTAACCTATATTTTGAAGAGTTTATGCATTGTATGTAGGAGAGAAGCGTGAACATTCTTCAAAATGTCTCCTTTTGCACTCCACAGAAGACAGTACTACGGGTTTGGAATGACATGAGGGTGAGTAAATGTAACTGTTTAAGATTTAAGAAACCTTTTTTAAAGAAAGATTGCATCGGTGCATCCCAAAAGTGGTAGTTCCACAAAAGACGACATTCACTTGTCTCATTATTCATACGATATATATTAAAGTGTGCAAAATCTTTCTCGTGGCACCTTTAAATCCCTGAGTATGCTGACCAACAACTCCCACAGCGATTCCTCCACACATTAGTGTAAAACAATATATCTCATTATTGTGCATTGAGAATGGGTTTTGCTGGTGTCTTCTCAATCCCAGACTCACGGAAACTCCTGAAGATGACAAACAACCATGAGTGTTCCCATATCACTACGTGTACGCAAACAGTAATTCCTGAACAATATGCTCATACCTGCATAACTGAATGGACCCAGTCAAGCATCGTGTCCATATTGGTGTAGACGCCAGGACGATCGACTCTGGCACAACCAACACCCCAGCTCACTACACCCACCAATGTCCAGCGGTCAGATAGATACACCAAAGGACCACCGCTATCACCCTTAAAGAGAGAAACGGTTGTTCTAATAACATTATCACACTTTATGAACAGAATGGTACACAGAAAAGCAGAAACCGTACCTGGCACGCATCTACTCCTCCCTTCAGATAACCTGCACAGATCATCCTAGAAGTGACAGAAGAGCCATACACCGTGGGACTTTGGCACGCTGCTCTGTCTATCAAAGGGATCTGTGCCTTTTGTAACTTTGGAGACAAATTCCCTGCAGGAAAAACAGCCAGATAAATGTTAAATACTGAGAGAGGCCTTCGATGGCAAGTCAGTTTGAATCGGTCAGGGAGGGGAAAAAATATGTAGGATTAAAAAAGCCAGGAACCTTTTTCCGTCATGTGGCCCCAGCCGGTCACAACCAGATTGTCTCCTGTTTGAAGGCCAAGATTTTGAGGTGGCAGGCACACCGGTCTCCGGGATTCTGAATGGGATGAAAATAATGATATTGGTACCAATGTTCATGGTTGAAAGAGAACACAAAACACTGACCTTGAAGCATTGACAGAGCATGGTATAGAAGGGATGCACTGATATTAGAATTAAAGGAGCTGTATGTAAGATAGTGGCCAAAACTGGTACTGCAGTCAGTTTCAAATTACTGTAACGGTGTATCCTCTACCCCTCCCCCCTGACTCAAGGTTGCCATAGGCTGCAGGATCCAACATTTTTTTATCGGACACGTTTGTATCTGCAGCTGTGGTAACTAGAGCAGAGCTGGCAACCCGAATGCTGCAACACTACTGACTTCGTGATTGGTAGATCGGTGGAGGGCGGAGCATCAGACCAAAACACAACATGACAACATCAACTTCAGTTTTTAAATGACAATAGCCTGGCCAGACTACTGTTGTCAGTGATGTAAGTATTTGAAATGAACATGATTACTTAATGTCTAGTGACATACCAGGGCCATTTTATGATTATTTGAAATACATTTCTTACAGCTCCTTTAAGGGCAAAAAAAAAATCTGTTTTATCTAAGCTAAATTATTCCATTTTATTTGAATTAAAATCAAAAGTGGATTTTTACAAAAACATTGTAATATACAGTATAAAGTGACATATTGATTTTAACCCTCTGGCGTCGGTCAAAAATGACCGATTTGTTGATCGATTTCAATGAAAAGGATGTACTATATTTTAGTTTGATAATGTTTTTTTATTTAATATTTTGTGGTACTAAATTTCCAACTTAAACTGTCATAAATCATGAATGCTTGGAGCACAGACTTAAGTTTGGTCTCTTTTTAAAGATGACAATTGGCAGATTATTGCTGAAGTGAAAACAGTAAGTTGTGTTCCAAATTTGAGGTTGATATCTAAAAAAACCAAACAAAAAAAAAACAAACAAAAAAAAAAAACAGTACTTTCAGTAAGACTTTGTTTTGTCGCAGTATCACTAGATGACATTTGTTTCCAAATTTATTTCAAATGTGGTCAATTTTGAAAAAAAAGTTTTGACTATTTTTGTTTTTCAGGAACATTTAACCTTTTCGAATTATGTCCCCATGATTAACTCTTCATATTTAGGTGAGTTTGAGTTTGAGTGTGAGTTTATTTTTTGGTGAGTTTGTGTGTGCGTGTGTTTGTCTGATTTACCTCCCACAGTGATGGGAGAATAGAGTTTTATCATGGCAATGTCATAGTCGTTCCGTCCTGAGCTGTAATCTTTGTGGATGACGATCTTGTCCACAGAATAAGCTCCAGAAGATCCCATATATGTGATTCCAGTGACTACATTCCATCTGACCAGTGCCTTCTTACCATCCCTGAAAAACAGAAGAACAATGTGACCATCAATCATCGTCCTTTACACCCTGTTTTAGTTCTATTTACAAAGCTTCACTTGTTCTTCAGGTAAGATGTGAACAATTCACAGTTTCTGAACCAGATGGACTTGTTGGGGCTATGAACGATTTTCAGAAAGGAATGGGGTTTGTAAAGAAATCTTTGAAGTAGCTACTGTAAGTGATAAAAACATGTTCACTTCCATGACTCATGTTTTCCCCATGTGACAGACGTAATTAGTAGACTACATATGCACTTACTATAATAAGAGTAAAATATGCATAGATGCAAGTGTCTAACCCTAACTCTATAGTAAGTACATGTAGTTAATATTACTTATTATTACTTCTTTAAGCAAGTACAATTTAACTACGTCACCTTCAAATAAAGTGTAACCCAAAGCACTTGTGTTTACACATACATACATGCAATTACAGCTGCATTACATCTTTAATTAATAACCACCTTCGCACCCTTAAACCTACTCATACCACCAAACCTGTTCTTAACCTTACCTGGATCCTATTTCATGTTGAATTGCAAAACACTTTTTCTGCTCTTGAACACATAAAGTGTTAATACGGTAGACTTATTAAGTAGTACTTACAAATCATTTGCAAACGATTAGTTTATAGTTAATTGATAGTTGCATTTTTACTTTATTAATACCTTACATAAAAAATAGTGATTTATTCATTAATTTTCACTGTAAGTTGCAAATTATGGTTGTTGCTCATGTGAAGAGTTCGTTTTTTCATGCTTTGTATCCCAAACCTAACCCTACCTGATGCATATTAGAACTGTGATTTACATACATAACATTTACATAACATTTGCATAGACACAAGGAACATTGACAGCATTGTTATTTAATGTGGAGAAGACTAGAATATATAAACTAAAGTTTGCAAATGATTTTAATGTACTATTATACTTCTTAAAGTGTACAGTATACACTTCTTTTAATGTAAGGACATATTAGTTTAAGACTCCTAATATAAAGTGTGACTGGTTGACTACTGAACGAATCTTTTCACGAGTCAATTCGTTCATTTCGTTCGTTGAATGAACCAAATGACACGAAAAAAGATTCGTTCATTTTGATAAACGAGTTTGAACAGGAGAGTCACAAACGTGCATCACAGAACAGAGCAAGGCGAGCATTTTAGCTTATAAAACTTATTTTTGTTCGTTTCGCTCGATAAGACCCTTATTCATCGCCTGGATTCGTTTAAAGCCCTTTGAACAGTTTGCAGTTTGCACTGAAACTGTCTTTTGGACCTTGAACCGTTTGGTTACCAGTAAAGTGCATTATATGGAGAAAAATCCAGGAATGTTTTCATCAAAAACCTTAATTTCTTTTCGACTGAAGAAAGAAAGACATCTTGGATGACATGACGGTGTGTAAATTATCAGCAAAAGTTTTTAAAATGAACTACTCCTTTAAGCAGCAAAACCTTTTCAACATTGACAAAAACAAGAATAGTTTATTGAGCAGCAAATCAGAATGATTTCTGATGGATCATGTGACACTGAAGACTAAAAAGTTCGCTCTGACATCACACGAATAAATCACGTTTTTAAATGTATTGAAAAAGAAAACGATTATCTTAAATTGTAGTAAAGTTTCGCCCAAATTGATTTAATAAATCAGCCTTGAGCATAAACATAAAAAATTATATATATTTTCTATTTTAATGTTCATACACCTACCCATTGAAGCAGTGGGCCGCAGTGACCACCCAGTTTGGAGACACCAGTGACCCTCCGCAGGTGTGCTGGCCACTGTTCTGCAAGCTGACTTGCCAGGGCCAGTTCTCAACGATAGCATCCTGTCCACCTACAATCCGGTCCTGGCTTCTGGACTTACCACAGTCTGCTACAAAATAAAACAGCCAATAATAACTCAAAACATATAAAACAATGCGTTTCTTATCATAACAAAAAATGTATTATGCAAGTATGCGTTCTGTTTTAAGCATGTTCTATGTTCTATAAACATAAGTTGTCTGTATTTTAAAGATTGAAGGGATATAAAGCTGCATGTCTGCAGTTCTCTTCCGGTTTTCTCTCTTTAAAACATGCTTTAGCATGTTGAATTGCCCAGTCCAGATGACTGAATCTGTCAGTGAACACACCTCTGAATTATCTGATGTTGTTGTTCTTGGCTATAGGCTATGATGCGTCACATAATGTGTAGTTCTATGTCAGTTGCATTGTGTTTTGGTTCTGGTTTTTTTTTTTTTCCTGTTCCTTTTTTTGCCTGTGTTCCTGATCATTATTAGTCTCCCTGGTGGTTAATTAGTTGCTGCACCTGTTTTGTTTTACCTCTCAGTTTAAGCTCTCAGTTTCCTTTGTTTCACTGTCCCATATATTGTCTTTGTTTTATGCGGTTGTGCTAGTTCACTTCTGCAGTTTGTGGATATAACAAAAAAGGGTAACACTTTACTTGAAGGGGTGTGCATAAGACTGACATGACACCTTCATAACCATGACATATATGCCTTGAATATGAATTAGGGTTTAGCATGTTTATGGCAACTGTCATTAAGTGTCTTTCGGTCAATAATGACATTTTGAATGCAAATATGGCATTGTTTGAGATGTCTTTGTTATGACATCATCATAACCTGTCAGAGTCTTTCTCATAACAACTTGACATAAAATTAAGTTAAATTGTGGTTGGCTTTCAACGCTTTGACATGGCTGTCATGAGGCCATTATAACTGTTTCATGAATATTTTTCGTGACCTCAACTACAGTGGTACTAATTAAATTTGTCACTAAAAGGTTATAATGGCTTCATGACAGCCAATGTCAAAACCAACCACCTGACAGTTTAATGTAATGTTAACCAATAAAGCTAGGTGGTTTCTTAAGTTTGATAATTAATCTGCTATTGTCTTAGTAATGTCAAGTTGTCATGACAAAGACACTGACAGGTTATGATGTATTGGTTTATGTCAAGTTGTCATAACAAAGACATCTCAAACAATGTCATATTTGCCTAACTCAGCGAATGACACTTTAATGACAGTTGTCAAAAACATGCATGTCATGTCATGATTATGAAGGTGTCATGTTAGTCTTATGCACACTCCTTCAAGTAAAGTGTTACCAAAAAGGTGTGTTTGACTTTTCGTGTGTTGTGCTGTGTACTACACCCACTACTCGTGACAGGTACTGGGCTACTCTGCAGCGGTTATCGTCCCGCTCGGTTTAAAATAGCCTGAATATAAACGCTTACTGTAGCAATTCAGGATGAGACAAAAATGTGGTTTGGAAGATGGATTCATGATGTACCCGCTCAAATACATTGTAAATTTTACAATGTAAAAAAAGTTGCATGGTGTACCTATACATTAACAGTTTGGTTATTGACTAAAGCCCTAATTAGTTGTTGGATTGGGACTTCATAGTTACCTGAGCATTTTAACGTGACGACTGCTCCCGTATTGCATACCTTACTGAGAAAGAGGAAGAAAACATGAGAGAGTGAGAGAAGGTTTTACAATCAAAAATTACTGTAAAATATGAATTAAGTTTGAGGTTGCTGTATATATCAAAGTAGACATTTCAAACTTTCTATAGATATATATTTCTAATGTTTGTGAGGCAAGTAGCCTATGCTCCGAAAGTCACCGTTTCGGTGAAAAAAAAAAAAAAAATTAAAAATTTGAAAATTAGGAATGATGTATTACTCTTATCTGTATGACATAAAAATGACAGCGTAAATTAAACTGAAAAAAAGCGTTGGCGGCTCCAGTAAAGCACACTATCTTTTTGGTGCCTTCCATCCACACTTACGCTGCCTTCACACTGGCAGTTGAAATCAGCTCCGTAATACGCAATACGTTCCCAACGGACGTCGTACTACACAGTGAAAAGCGTCGGACGCGGGTAGAACAAAAATGGCGGAGAGATTAAAGTTTGATTCTGTCAGTTCTGTATGATCTCTCTCTGATTAGGGTTATGCTGCGTGAGGAAAGTTGCTCAGGACGTTGACATGTCAGGTCGGCTAAAAAATGTGATATAGTGGTCAATAGTTCAATGTCTACCTTCAATTTAATTGTATTAACTGCCCTTATAAACGTTAGAAAGTCATGAAAATAAAAAATGACATGACAATTTATCGTTATAAAATCATTATTTATTTTATTAAAAGTTAATAATTCAGGTTTGTTTATCAGTACCATAGCAACGCTCAACTTCCACTGGAATTGTCGGATAGGAACCGTCCGTAGCTTTTCGCACGAGTTAAAATTTTTGAACGCATCCGGATGACCAACGGACACGATTTTCTTCGCACGCACTCGGTCGGACCCGTTTCGGACCCATTCGCATGCGGTCTGCGAATCTCCATAGGCAATGAATGACTTCCGGTCGTTTCGCAGCCGCATTGGAGCTGATTTCAACTGCCAGTGTGAAGGCGGCGTTAGCACGAACACTTGGATATGCGCCTTATAACAGAGCACATTTTATCTAGGTTAATGTATAGTTGCTACTAACTTACAGTAAATGTATCAAATGACAAGCCATGTTTGAGGTTGATGAATGATTGGCTAACGTTTAGGCTAACTAAACTTAGTAAGCCGAGTAATAAAACTAACTGACTAATAAAATGTTTTCTAGCTTCTAGTTAACTAACATTTCGTCGACTATTAGGGGGCACCCTTACTTAAAACCACTTTTTTCTGAAATGCAATTGTTTACAAATTATGTGCATATTTCTTTTAAATAGGTGACACTTGATTATCTAATGTAATGACAAGTGTAGAAATGTATATACCCGAGTATATATACTAACCGATTCGTTACGGTGGACTGGAAAGTCAGGGGTTTCGATGAGCCCACCTCACAGAAATCCAGCTTCAGATCAGAGGACAAAGAACCCACTTGAACTGTGCTGAAAGACGGATTACTGACAACACAAAATACAAGACAAAGAAATTGAAACAATGCAAAATAAATGAGCTATATTCTATTATACATGTATTTAGCACTGAAGTCATTAATCCAAGACTTGTTATTCTGATAATAATTGTAGTTTTGCAAACTTTCAGTATTGATGTATTTCCAGTTCCTGAGTTTTTACAGTTTTCTCTTGTTGTAAAAGTTCTCAATTGTCATGAATTACTCACTCTCATGTTGTCCCAAACCCGTAAGACTTTCGTTCATCTTCCAAACACAAATTGAATATTTTAAATGAAACTATCACTTTGATGCTTCATAAAGAGATCATAAAACGAATCCATATGAATAGAGCGGTTTAGCCCACATTCTCTGAAGAGACTAGATCGCTATATATGATGAACAGATTGAATTTACATATAACCATTGATCAGAGAACAGAGAACAAACGTTATTGGTTATTGAGGAAGTTCAAATGTGCTGCGTAACACGAACCTCATTGGTTACTTACGTGTCAAGCATGCTTAAGCTTACATTTACTATATATTATATGTGAGTTGATGAATGTTTATACGTGAATAAATGCCTAAATTCAATCTGCACAGCATATAAAGCAGTTTACGGTCTCTTTATGAACTTTTTTGCAACGTCAAAAAGGTAGTGGCTGTAAACGGAGGGACAGAAATCTCTCAAATTTCATTTAAAATGCCTTCATTTGAGCTTAAAAGATAAACGCAAGTCTTTCAGATTACGACTTGAGGGTGAGTAAGTAATGACAAGTAATAAGTAACACCATGATCTGTGGATTAATACTCACAATGAGTACCCCAGCTTTTGGCACGCAGTCTCTGCATGTTGTTGGGTGAAACTTTCTTCACATACACTTTTCCATTTATTCTCAACGGAGCTGAATACCTGAAGCACATTACGGGTTGAGATCAGCCGTACTGTGCAGAAAGAAAAACGGTTTTAAAATTCAGACATTCAGACAAAGATTTATATTCATTACATGGTGGATATATTTGAAATGTAAATCTAGCTCAGTCATGAAATTCTAGATGGCGCAGACTGATAGGTATTTTACATGCCATCTGCAAGCAGTCACACCATTACCACATGACACTGCTAATTCTGAAGCCAATGAGATTGCTTGCGCTCAACATTTAAATAGTCCAGTTCATGGTTTCATCAGATATACAACTTCCCTGCATCATCTGCTATGGGATTTGATTGCATCTTACATGACCAAATCTATCCATCCTCCAAGACCATATATATTATTATACCACATATATAGGCATCTAGGAAATACCAGACATAAAAAAAGGGTGAGGTTGGGAGATTTGGCTTGTTTGTCTAGAAACCGGACACACGGGTTATATCTGTGCTGACTGCACGTATTTCTGTGAGCAGGTATGTGGGCGTTGGTGTGTGTGTGTGTGTGTGTGTTTCCACAGGTGACTTACGGGGGAAGGTGGAGTTGGCTCTAAACTGCGTTACACAGGCTGACTCATCCTCAGCTCCACTGCAGTCCTCCTTCCCATCACAGGCCTTCTCCAGTGGAATGAACTTAACCGACTTTGAGCAAAAATAATACTTGCTGTCGATCAACTGCTTGACTGCGTCATGAGGAAGAGGAATGAAACAGCATTTGTTAAGTTAAATTTCCTGTTTACGTTTCTTGAGTCAAAAGAGTTAAAGGAGTGGACTAAATAACTGTTATTGATGAGAAAAAAAAATAGTGACTCAAATATGAATGTGTGGAAGGTTATGATCATAACAGAAAATAGGTTATTTTCCCTGGCCCACATTAATAACAAACATTAAATGTTAACACAGTCTCATCCCAAGAAGTCATATAATTGACGTCTTTTGACCATACGTCAACATCCGCCTTTTTAGGGTACCCTTAAACCGATTTATACAATTTATGACGCATTATTACAAATTTCATGTTTTGAATGATATAAATGTATAAAATGTAAAAATGTATGCAGATGATTCAATTATACAATGTATTAATTTTAAACACGTTTTAATTGTTATAAATTTATACAATGTATTCACTGCAGTTTTCACATTTTAAATGTTATAAATCTATGCTGTGTAACATATTATAGTTTTCATTAAAAATTGTATACGTTTATATGCTGCATTAACTGAATTCAGCATTTGAAATGTTATTATTGTTATAAATGTTATTAATTTATACAATTTATATATATTAGGGCTGTGCAAAAATTAATTGCGATTAATCGCATCCAAAATAAAAGTCTGTGTTTACATAATATATTTGTGTGTGCTGTATATAATTATTTTGTATATATAAATACACACACATGCATATATATATTTAAGAAAATGTGTTATTTATATAAAAATATTTATATTTATATAATTTAGATTATGTATGTATATATATATATATATATATATATACAGAATTTAAGCGCAAATAATTCTTAAATATATACATGCATGCTTAGGTATTTATATATACAAAATAATTATATACAGCACACACAAATATATTATGTAAACACAGACTTTTATTTTGGATGCAATTAATCGGAATTAATTTTTGCACAGCCCTAATATATATATATATATATATATAGTTCAATAGTTATGCATGGTAGCCTTTATACTTTTGAAGTTACAGAAATTGTTTTGCGTTTCATTATTGTTTAATTTTGATCAACTGTAATAGGCCATTTAATGGCAGGTTCCAGTGACACGCTTTACATGCTTGCTTAATGAATTTTATCTTTTAGTCACAGAGTATATGTCCAATAACTTTAAAGTAGCCAAGAATTTAGAGTCCGTTTTTGACTTTCAGACATACAGTATACAGTATTGACCTAGAACTTACTGAAGAAAGCGGCCACTGCCAGAATGGCCAGTATAATCACCACGATCAAGACTGAAAAGATGATCTTTTTCGCTGTTGGTCCGCGCGTCTTTGGAGTCGTCATGAGTTTTCTGTGTCTTCCAGGCTGAGCAACTAGAAGATATGAGAAGATATGAAAATCTTTCTTTCTCTTGAATCATGAGTATTACAAAGGAGGCTATATTAATAAATCAGGTAATAGATTACTGTACCTGGATGAGCAGGGTTTAAGGGTCTAATATTCTCTTCAGGAACCTGAGATTTAGTCTGAGATTAAGGAAAAGAAAAGAAAGAAAGTCAGGGATCATTTTGTTATTTCTTTGACACATATAGCCCTGAAGCTTTATGACTCAGTTTTGGATATCACGTTCAGTGTGTCACAGGGGATTTTTTCAGTCTTTCTTGAAATCTCAAACACTTCCTTGTAAACCGTCCTACTCGGCTTGAACATGTAGGCCGCAATTTATCTGCAGCAAGTAACAAACCGTTATCTGCATTTATATAATCTGAAACCACAAAGAAGAAAGTGTGGTAGATGAGGTATATATCGAAGAGTTAGCCTATATTTTTCACTGAAACCTGGACTTTGAAAAAACAAAAAGAAAGATGCATTCATAAGTTATAAAACGTTGCTGGCGAGTTTTTGTTTACATAACAATTTTCACATTTCAACTTCAATTTTACACCTGTTAATCTTATATCGTTACTTCAGTTACTGGAAAATGACCTTGTTCGTATGCTTAGACCAATACTCTCATGAGTCATGGCAAAGCAGGAACACTTTCCATGTACTTATGAAAATTTTGAAAGTATCAGATATGAGTCCTGACATCACTAACAAAGCTGGATGTTGACCTAATAGATAGACCATCAGAACAGTCACCTGATTATATTAATATACAGCTCAAAAGAAAAATTATTTTAACGTGAGCTCAATACGCTGTTTCAATTTTAAGAGCATTTTTACATCTTACGTCAAAAATAATTTTTCTTTTGAGCTGTATATTAATATAATCAGGTGTATGTTTTTAAAAAGGGGACATTTGCATCCACCACATGCAAGAAAAATCATTGCAATTACTAAAATATTGTTACTTTTTTATGTCTCCTTAAATAGCTTTTCCTAATTTTTATGAATATTCTATCAAAGTAAAAATTTGCCAGACGTCACATTAGAGAATGTGAAGAGAAACTTAACATCAGCCTGTTAGTCAAAACAGCGACTACACTATAATTATGAGTGTAACGGATGATTCAGATGGTTCCTGAAAAAAACAAGCCATAAAAATAGCCTGAACAAATAGTCTCCAAAAACATCTAGTCACCAATGAGAAAATTAATGAATTGAATCCTCATTTAAATAAATGTGTCTAAATACAATTAATGCTCATGTGCTAAGTTTATTCCCTTAAGCTTCAATGGAAATTATGTTTAAATCTTAAATAATGGAAATGAATGTTTACTATTGAGATTTCACTATGCATCAGAACATTTTAGAATATCAGAAACAATAGCTATTTAATATTTAAGAGTTTTATTACAATTGTGGATACATTTGCAAATGTTTACAAGTGAATATAAAAGCTTTCGAACTAAATAAAAAGCTTTCTTAAATTCAAGTTAAGATATTCTACTTGTACAATTTACTTTCCAAGTTGACCCATAATTCGTGAACAACATTACAGTAAAACAACAAATGACTCAGACTTTCTTTTTCATCATCATACAAACTTCTTGAATTTCAGCATATCTAGAAACCAAGATGTTGACAGGATAGATTTGCATACTGTAGATGTGTAAAAGTTAGGATAAGCAACTAAGCTGTCTTCCACATAGTTTTGGCATATAATAATATTTGTCCTTATTTGTTGAATTTTTATATTGAGAAAAATAATGGACTATGAATTTTCAAAGTGACAATGATTTGAATTGTGATTTGTAAATAATGGATCAATTTGGTAGAAACTGAATTATTAAAATGAAACCAACTCCATTTTATCTTATTTTATGACACTATGGCTCTGTAATGAGCCTCTAATTGAGTTTCAAACTGATAAGCCAGCCACAGGTCAGTTTCACTAACATATTTAACTGCCATATTGAATTGATGTCAAGAATGTGGTGTGGCTTGTTCTGAATTTGTCTTGTAGTCCTTGTGTCGGTACATTGTGTCCATGAATTTGCATGACTGACTTCTCAAAACATGGAAGAGGTCCAAACACAAAGCCATGCAGCATCCCCAGTATTTTAAATAAGGATTTAGTTTTTGGGTGTGTTGTTATTATTTTATGAACCACAATGAGGGAACACACCTTGAACATTTTGTCTTCTTAAATCAAAAGAGATTTGATAATAGCTTCTTTCCACAAAACATTTTCAAACAGAACACTAATATTATAATAAAAATAAATATAATTAAACCACAATCAAATAGGAAAGAAAAAGGTTGTAAACATTATATTAATCATTTTAATACAACATAATCATTCACCATATTGTGACACCACATATCGTGTCAATTGCGATTGTCTAATATATGGCTAATTAGATGAAGAATAGAAAATGACCTATAGCATTGGTTTCACAGTAAAATTCAGAATACATCTATGTATTGTAAATAAATAGTGTCAAATATTGCTGATATTTACAGTGCAAATCAAGTTCAAATTTCACACAGCTTGAATCCCCCTTTCAACAAATACTGAAACCACAGAAAGTTCTTTGAGAGACAGAGACTGAAAGTGGGTCATTATCACATGAGGAGATCTGGACAGAGAGAACCCATAATGCAAATGGTGAGGATAGTTTGAAAAGAGGCGTTTGCTTAACTAAATTGTGTGAATGCACAGAACAAAACATCTAAAACTAAATATCTAATAACAAATCTTGTAAAACAGTAAGAGTGGCAGTTGACAGGAAACTAAGAAATTACAAGAAAACAGCCTTGCTGTGATAGTCTGTACAGTGTTCAGTACAGCAACGTTTTGGAATAAAGAGCAGACACTGCAATTAAAAACAATGATACAAGTATTACAGAATGTCACGTGACGATTAACTGGTGGGAAAATATAACAAACAAAGCACAATGTCAGGTAAGAAGAATATGATTGATAGCATAAATGATCTGTTCTTAATTATTTTCCACCCTATTCTGTATAGATAAAGAAAACAAAAGTTTGGTGTGGTTACTTTGAGAAAAACAGATCAAGTCAAACATTAGGGTAACTCAACCATTATTGAAAACCATTCCAAGAGTTGTTCCGTATGTAACGATATACAATACACATCACAAAACTGATCTCACGATGCGATATTATTGCGATACTCCAAGACATTTGATAAAAAGTTACCAAAAAATGTACTGTTGATTAAAATGCTTAATTTGGGGTTACATTGTGGGTGTAAATTAAAAACTTGGACTTGGTGCTGGAAACACAAGACTAGTGAAACCAGAATATGAAATTATGTGAAATTAAAAGTTATGTTTTGACAGCTGGTAGCTTTATTATGCAGCTTTACCCGTCGAAGATTTGGCTATAGTTTAAATCGATCTGCAATACATTTTTGTTTGTTTGCATCTTTTATCCACTCTAGTTCACTTAACGTTACTGTTAATTTATGTTAGTGTAGACAAAGCTTTCATGGAGGATCTGGGTGCTTGCTGTGAGAAAAATCAATCGATAAAACGCATATGGCAAAGGAAGTGCATGATTCAAACTTGCTTCAGCGCGTATTTATGTGAGAGGCGCGTGCACGCGAAGGGGCGTGTGATTTGCATAGGTAATGAGTCGGATTTCGGTACAACACCGGTTTTGGTTTTAGGTTTTAATACCAAAAAGACTCGTGTTTTTTTTTTTTTTTTTTTTTTTTTTTTTACACTTTGCTGAACGGTCGATTAAGTAAGTAGCGAGTGTCATTGATGGAAGCAGTGACCGGAAGTTATCCAACCCACCACAGACAAACCGGAAATTCTATTTCCGTTTGTTATGGAACTACCCAGCTTTTGTTATTTTTGGACCAAAATGTATTTTCGATGCTTCAAAACGTTCTAACTAACCCACTGATGTCACATGGACTACTTTGATGTTTTTCCTATCTGGATATATCCTACAATATATCTTAAACTGTGTTCCGAAGATGAACGGACGTCTTACGGGCTTGGAACGACATGAGGGTGAGTCATTAATGACATCATTTTCATTTTTAGGTGATCTATCTAACCCTTTAATGTAGAACTGACACTTAATCTCCGAAAACTTTTTTTTTCTCACACAGTAATTTTTACTTTGAGTGAACTATACACAATACATATTGTCACTATCCACGATACACATTGTTGCATTTTTGTATCGCGTATATGTTGCATTTTTCTATTGTGTGTGTAGTGTGTAGATATATATATATATATATATATATATATATATATATATATATATATATATATATATATATATACAGTATGTATGTAATTTAGGATCAGCTTTCAGGCCGCTTGAGGACTAGAAAACCAAATCTGACAGGAACAAATTGTAAGAGATTTCTCAGGTCAGAAGTAACAAAGCGGACTCCTGCCAAAGCAGATTAGTTACACATGCCATCCCAACAACTCCTTTCAAACTGCACCCAATTATTTGTTGTAAATGTCTCTGTTTTGCATTTTGCAATACAGTTTTTGCATTTAAACCTTCAGGAATTCTGATCTCACATAGGCCTAAACATTTTATCTGGAACCAGACCTATTCAAATGACTGAAATGCACACACACACACACTTTTTTCTGTGCCACGGATTTAGAATCTATCATTGCACAAGCCTTTCACATTCTTAGAACTAGAACGAAATAAATGAGATAAGTTATTGCGAGTAATACGGTACGCAGCAAGATTGTATGATATAATATTGCTTTCAATAAACATGAACTTAATATGAAGTAATTTACATTTAGACACAACCAGTAAATTATTTCCAAATAGTTCCAAGCAAAGACAAAGCAGAATCTAAACACTGTAGTGCATCCCGTTCCTGAAAGTTTCTGTGTTTTTGAATATAATGGTTTAGCAATTAAATGATTCTTGTTTTCATTCCAGAACAATTCCTTTTTCAATTAATCATTTGAATTAATTATTCTATGAATTGCTTCGAATAAAGACTTTCACGTGTTTCATTTCTGAATGAATCGTTGTTGATTAATGTATAGATTAAATGACTAATTAAGACAGTCACTTACTAGCACTTACTGGCCTAAAAAAATTCTGTAATGAGATACT